CCAGGACAGATGTAGAGGCATATTTCAGGAGTTTGTGAGACACAAACTGCAAATAGCTTTGTTTAATTGAAAAGCCCCTAACCTCATCTTCCTGTAACAACCGCAGCTACAACAAAACAAACTTCTGACAAACCACAAGGACGCAGAAACTGCTTCTCAGCCAGCTCAGACAAACCCGCCCCATGCTCTCAGCTCAGAGGCCCACTGGCGCGGAGGTCAAAGTGCCCCTGGGTTAGAGTTATGTGTTAAATCATAGATCAATGGAGAGACGGTCCAGAAGACTTGAGAGCCCTGCTGCATTGTTGTGGTTGTATGTTTTGCATAGCTTTGCTTTCATACCAAGCCAGGCTTTGCCAGAGAATTTCATTTTCCAACCAGAAACAAATGCGCCAAGAGGGTTTTGTTTAAAGTCCAAGAAACTGAAGTATCCCATTATGACATGTGGACACATGTTGTACACATCCTGTGGTGACTAAACTGATGGAGACAGATAGTGTGGCTATGGCAATTGATGGAAGTCAGAGCAATTTGCGTTGTGAGCTTTGCAAAATCAAAACTGAACATAAAACATCAAAACTACGCTGAAAACCAGCTAGCATATAAGGCCAGCTAAGCCCTGTTAATGAAAGTTCTAGCTAGAATTTCTCTCATTATTGATTAAGCGTCGTATAAAGGGCAAAAAAGTTTTAGAAAATAAACGTTACAATCATATTCCCAGCAGATGTGAGGAATGAGTATTTTTTAAATAGCCCTTTAAAGCCTGATCCAAGAAAAATAGGAAGATTATTGGATTTTTTTAGTCTGAAGTCTTTCTTTGGCCCCTCAACAACATAAGAAGAAAAATAACAGAAATGATTTTGATCAAACTAACATGCAATAAGTCAAAAATATATTTCCGTGTAGTCTTCTACTGGCTGTTATCAGGTATATCTGAATGTGTACAACAAAAAGTCTCAGATCCAAAAGACTTCAGAAACCGTATCAGATATGACACATTTGGCATTATAGGGATAGGGGGGAAATCATTTGCAGAAGACAGGTTCTGCATTATTGTGTCTTTAATTGTTGCTAATGATGCCACAAAGATACCAGCAATCACCTGCAGCTCAAGGAACATTTATTGGACGTATTAATAAACTGTTTGATTGGGTCAGGTAAGGGCAGAAACCCAATAGCCGTGTACTTTTATTTGACATTGCCATTTAGTTTAGGGTATAGACAGACAGAATATAAGGTTGAAACTGTGACAAAGATGAATCGGCTTGTGTGAAAGACACAGCCAGCAATGTTGAGCACACCACTGCAGACGACATCTTCTGATTGCACGTCATCGGCTGGCCCGTTGAAAGCGGCCTTTGATACGGCCCGACACGGGCACTGCCTTCCCGCCGTTAAAAAGCTGAGCGGGGGTTTTCTCCCCTCAGCAGTTTTTCATCCACCCGTTTTGACCCACTTGAAGTCATCAGCAGCTTCCTTGCTCTTTACTTAGTGTGCAATTCTTTTTGAGGTCACCGCTCGTCACAAACGGACGCGCGGGCCAAAGCTGACATCACAGCGCCTGGCGCTGGGAGATTTGTTGTTGTGTCGGCCTGTTGTTCACCTCCCAGTCTTTGTTGAGTTTGTAGAGCTTTTAAATGGGATCTGTTGGTGTGGGTTAGGGGTTAAGGAGACAAGACAAGATAAGACAATTTAAGACAAGACTATACCATTTAAGACAAGACAATTTAAGACAAGACAAGACAATTTAAGACAAGACAAGATAAGCTAAGCTAAGCTAAACTAAGATAAACTAAGCTAAGCTAAGCTAAGCTAAGATAAGATAAGATAGATAGATAGATAGATAGATAGATAGATAGATAGATAGATAGA